GTATTTAAAGTATTACAGAGTAGTCAGAGTGAATTCTTGTCAGGGTTGATCTCGGTGCATCCATCCAATTAGAGGTTAGGTGTTCTTAGGTTTGGAAAAAATTGAGAACATATCCATGCTACTCTATAATAATAATCCATTCATTAATAATAATTCATTTTTTCTAGGAGTAATACATTGTCTCTGAAATTATCTTTAATCTACCAGCTTTTATCCTCATGCTGTCCAATAGCATATATATTGAATAAATAGAACCTCTTTTGTCATTGATTAATGGTATTACTGTACCAGTAACTGTACTTTCAAGAGACAAGGCAAGAATTTCCAGATCCTTAATGAATATTGGAATGTAGCAGATAGATTTACACATGTTTGGAACCAAAGATGTTGGCAGGAGCAAAAGGGGATATTTTATCAATAAACCTTTTTTTTCATGCTAGGTTTAATCACTAACTGTAATAGTATTATGATATGATTGATATGATAATATTTATTCTCCAAATTAACTATTGCTACTCATTAGAAGTTAGAAAGATAGAAAACCACAATTCCATGCCAGTAAAAGACAGCTTCCCAAATTTTAAAATGTATAGATAAAAAAATATAATTTATGGAAATAGTTAATCATGCTGCTAAACAAGTATATATTAGATGTACATGCTTTTTAAGCACATACAAAGCAGTACTAGGCATTCTAGAAACATGTTCTAGTACAGGACTACAGACAATCTGCTGTTTAAATATAGGATATTAAAGTATGTTTAGATATAACTTTATATATGTAGAATCATAGAATCGCAAAGCTGAAAAGATAATTTAAGCTATTGAGTTTTGCCTCTTGTTCAGTATCTTTGATATGGTTGTCTAGCTTCCAATTGCATACATAGTAAAGGAGTCCTCACCATTTCTTTGAGTGATTAGTTCTGCTGATGAACTTCTCTTACTATCACAAAATTTACTCTAACAATGAACTGGAATCTCTCTTTTTGTAACTTACATTTACTATCCCATGTCCTACTTTCTTAAATGTTGAAGAGATTTTGATACTATTCTGTGCAACATTGCTTTAGGATCATCTCCCACTTCAGTCTAAACTTTTCCAATCCTTGATTTTTTTTCAGATCAGTTTCTATTTCTTTATTATCCTCAATGTCCTTTTCTGAACCAGTTTCAGTTTTTCTAAATCCTTCTAAAAGTTCATTATCCAAAATTGAGCATAGTAGTACTGGAAGTGTAATCTGACTTACTACAATATTAAAAAAGAAACTGTTACATCCTATGACATGAAAACTCTATTTCAGTTGATACAGCTTAAAATTGTATTTGGCTTTCCTGTAGTCATATCACACTACTGTTTCGGGTTCAGTTTGCTCTCTTTTTCCTTTTTCTTTTGCTTCTGATTCAGTCTTAACATTGATGACTATATGGAAATATAGTTTTATAAGTGGTTTGCCATTAGCTTTTTCTTAGGGCTAAATGAGAATGACTGGCCCAAAGTTACCTAGCTGTCTTTTGTTCCTAAGGCAAGACTAGAACTTAGATTCTCCTACCCTCGCACTACTAGATTCCCCACTAAAACAAACTGGCTCACCCTATGGTTGATTTTTAACAGTAATTGCAATCAATTATTATTTGAATATCACATTCACAAATACTGTTACCAAGCCAGGCATCCCTAATCTTATATGTGTGCTTTTCATTTAGTTTCCAAAATGAAATATTTAAGATTTCTCTCAATGTGTTCTAAGGTATTTGTTATCCCTATCTAGCTTTAAACCTGCCATCCTGGGCCCAATGTTTGGAAAGCCAGGCTCTGCCTGTCACAAGCCAGGACAAAGGGTGAGTGATGGAGGAGTAANTAATAATTGAAGCAACATTTAATATTACTTTTTTTCTGAACTGAAAGTTCATATCTATTTATTTATTTTCTAGGGCCATCTCACACAAGTGACTCCTTGATTGAAGGGATTCACTTATCACTTTAATTGTAATATAGCTGTTTATCTATTTCCTAATATATCTGGATTCTAAGTTCAAACTAGGTCAGTCATCCCAATTTGGTATAATTTTACTTATAATACCCATCTTCTTTGGCCAACATGACCAAATTGATGATTGACTCTGGAAATAGAAGTAGCTATCCAGTAGAATCAAAGAATAATAAGTTGAAGAACATTTGAAATAGACCCTTACAAGACCAAGAGTCAAAAATATCTGTTCCAACTATGTTTCCAACTATGCAACAAAAACTAAATTGCAGACTTTTGTAAATATCTGAAGATTCAGATGTGACAGGGGAAAACAGGGAATATAAAGACACACTCACAAATATGCACACTACAGCAATTACACATTCCACATAAATAATTCTTTGCAGAACTAATATAGTTTCAATGGGATACAAGAGTGAATGGTATGATTTAACTAATGGTGATGATGTGACAACAGTAGTATAATATTCCTGTAATTCAATATTTTTGTCTTTAAACTATGACTATTAATTATTGGCTATATGAAGATATCTAGGTGTGCAAATAATTATTTTTTATCAAGAATCCCTAGTATTACATTTTGTTCGGCTATAAATTTGTCATATTAGCATTTAGTCATCATTCCTGCTTCTATTCTCTTAGTAGTCATACATGCCAGATGCCATTGCCCTATACTTCGTGTTACATTCCTACATGCAAAAAAACTGCAGAATATCAGTGTCCACATAATCAGTTAAAATCTGTTGCTTTTATTTTAACTGTAAGTTATGAACCATGACCAGGTTTTGTTATAAACTGAAACTGATTTGCACATTACAGTAAGATAGGGTTCAAATACTGCCACACTGTGGTCAATTTACAGGCTAATTTGAAAAAAAGTTAGTAGCTATAAAATGGAATAGTAAGTGACCAAGTTAACAATAAGTAAACAAGGAACTACTAATATGACAGATCATAAATATGAATGAAATAATTGCAAGGAACAATGAAAAGAACTTATAAAAAGACAATGAAATAACTTGATTTTTCCTGTACATAGGATTAAAGTATTACCCACTCATTTTCTCTTCAATAAGTTTAATTAGTGAACTGATTTTATTCATACAGTAGACTTTGAAGAATAATGCTGAAACTTCCTAATTAAGTTCAGTGCTTTGGGGGAAAAACAATACAACTCCAACACTTAAAATCTAATATGCATTCTTTTGTAAGTCATTTCTAAACTCTGCAATGTTTTTCCAGCTACTATCTCAGAGTTATGCAAAAATATGTGCAGTATATATTAGATTCATAGGACCAGCAGAGAGTGGCAATAAATAATTACTAAATAAATGATTTGTTTTGTCTTGTCTTATTCAGGAGCCATTATGATGTGTTACTGTCATAATGGCTAAGATATTGTTTATGATTAGCTTCGAAACAGACATTCCTCTCTGGCCAAATTGAGTAATTTAAGGGGCTTTAGTCTGATCTAATAAGTACAGAGTCACTAAAAAAAAAAAAAAAGAATACCCAAAGCTGGAAGTGATGAAATAAGAGTTTTTCTTGGTTGAAATCATGATACTTTTTCAGTAAAATATTTTTAGTCCCTGACAAGAAATGCTTTTGTAAGTGGATCAGTGAGCAAGCACCAACAGAGAAGCCCCCAAACCATCCATGAATAACTGTAGCATTGTCTCTCCTTTTTTGTTTGTTATGTTGGGATGGAAATGCCAAAAGTTGTTAGGTATCTTCTCTCCATACACACTCATACACACCAGTTTATTTCACTGCTCTGGCAGACAGAGAAATTGAGGAGGAGAGAGGGAAAATTTGTATCTCTGTTGAGAACACAGCACCATCTCTGGTAATGCTAGCCAGCCCCTTTCTTTCTGTAGAAGCCACTAATAACCAGTGACCTACTAGCTGACTCTAGGTCTATTACTTTAGGAAAGCCTAAATAAATTTTGTTTAGCATGACTTTCTCAAGAAGAGAAAAAGTGGTAGAAAGGAAAAAAAAGAAAGGAAAAAGCCAATTCAGAATAGGAAAGAAGAGATGACAACATTATCAATATCCTCTGGATGATACCAAAGGATTCTGAGAGATACATCCTATATTCTTCTTTATTTTTTTAAATATTCTGTTTTTAATCTCCCCCCCTCCCTTCACATTTCCTAATAGTTATTCAATATTATACATGTTCAACTACTCAATTTAAAAGTCCTGAAGGATGAATACGACTACAGGTTCTCCTTGGTCTTCCCTGTAAGAAGAGCTTCTTTTCCCTGTAATTATACACCCTACCCCTCACTCTGCTGACTCCACTTCCTGGGAAAGGTCAGTGGGGTGGATGGTTTGTTAGATTCCTTTAAAAGCTCCCCTTAATACTTTACTTCCAAAAGAGGGGGAAAGCGAGTCGCTTCTCTCCCCCCCCCCCCCGTCACACACACACTTCCTTCTTTCGGATCCAATATTTCCTCTTGCACCCCACCCACTTCATCCACGACTCTTGCCCTAGGGAAGATTCTCCGTCACTCCCGGTGTATGTAACGGGGTCCTTTCAGTGCCTATAGACCAAGTCTCCAAGTGCCTCTTTCCAGGAGGCAGCAGCAATTAGTCCCCCCCCCCCCGCTTCTTTGCCATGGGTCGAATGGACGTCCTTCAGCCTGGCCGGAGAAATGGCACTTCGGCGGGCCCCCCCCCCCATGTTTCTTTTCCTTCTTTTTGCCCCCCTTCTTCATGCCCCGCGACCATTTCTTGCAACTTGGACCAGTGTGCGGAGAAGGTAAATGAAACGGGGTGGGGGAGGCCATTCCAGTCCCTGGCGAGTGGGGAAAGGAGGGAGAGGGAGGGAGGGAGGGAGAGAGAGGGGGGGGAGAGGGAGAAGGAGGGAGGGAGGGACAGGGAGGGACAGGGAGAGAGGGAGGGAGGGAGAGAGAGAGATTCCACCGAGGGAACCACCCCCACCACCCCGAGCCTCCCAAAAGCCGGCTGAAATGCCTTCGCTCCCGCCGCTCAGCTAGTCCTACCTGGTCTTGCGATGGAGCCTGGCCTCCTCTGTTGCCTGGGTTAGACTGCGCCTGCTGCTGCTGCTCCTTCATGGCTGTCATTGTCCGGGGCGACCGCGGGGTGGGGGTCAGCACTTCCTTTGACGGCTGGCCCTGCAGGAGGAGAGCCCCTTCCCTCGGCCGCCGTTACATGTCACAAGCCTTCCCCTTCGTCGTCAGCCCGAGCAAAGCCGAAGGGGCGAGCGACTTGGAGGCAAACCGGGCAACGAAGAATCACCCACCCGGCAGAGACGGGGACGGGACCAGCCTGCGCCGCGCTCGCCAGGCTATCGCAATCCTCCTCAGGCTGAAGCCACAGGGTGCGGGGTGGCAGAGAAAAAGAAGCGCGCCCAAAAGACTGAGGGAGCTCCGATTAACGGGCGCGCAGCAGCCTGGAGCCGGCAGCCACTTGGGACTCGGGAGGGCTCCCCGCGCAGGCACGCTCTGGCATTACTGCGGTATGGGTGCCCTCAAGAGCGGCGGGCTCGGGTGAGCGCAGGCTGCGGGGACAGAACCCCGGGAGAAGCGCGTCCCTTGGGAGGAAGCGGGGAGGGAAAAAAGGAGGCGGGGAGCCCAAGCGTGCAGTCTTTTCTCCCGCGGCAGCTGTACAGCGCAGCCCTGCGCCGCAAGTTCCGCGGCTGGAGCTGAGGAACGAGGAGCGCAGCGCTGCTCCTCAGACGGCACATTCGCTTTCCCTCCTCAGCTGGAATGGACCACTCAGACTCTCAGGCACGGGGGGGCGGGGGGAAAGACGCTGCCGTGGATGGAGGAGGTGTTGTCGTCGCCTACCTGGCTGCTCGTACTGCTTTCCCTAAAAACCGCGTCGCCGCCACTACCACCAACAACAACACCCCTCCTCCTGCTCCTGACCTCGCGACTTGCCAAGAATTCAATCTGGAGTCGCTCCGTTGAAATCTTCACCTCAGAGCGGACGGGGCGGCTTATGGTCGCAAAGGAAGGAGGAGGCAATAGTGTCTCGCACGAGGTGCAGGTTTGGCTTGGGGAGGAATCGTCCGAGCCACGAATTAGCCACTCGTGCGCTCACCTACGCGCACTCGCAGGCGGGGGAAGAAAACTGGCTAAGTTGCACACCGGCTTGGCATTGGCGTGGCAAACGACGAGGGAGAAGCCCATGAGCGATTCTTCGTTTCAGAAACAAAAAAAAGGCTTCTGCCATTCCTTTACTCAGAATACACCTAACGTAATAAACGCTATTCATTCTCTTTCAGACAGAGATTGCTTTGAGGGTGGAGTCAGAAGGCTAAATTTCCTATCCTGGACTGCCCAATTGGTTGTAATTCTGAGCCCATAATCCATTTTAAGTAAGAAGCAAAATTTGAAGTTACAGACTTCGAAAGCCTTCGAAATTCTCTTAGGGATGGGCAAGTTTTGGAACACTCCCCCCCCCCCTTCATTTACCTTAGCAATGACAACTGATGAAAAATGAAATAGGGATTATACTGTATATTGTTAGTTTATTTGGGCAAATGCTCTTTGTTAGCCAAAAGTGTGTTCATGAGGTTTTTTTTTTTCCAGGACGTGACTTTGAGGTACACAATAACTAATTATAAAAGGAAATCAGCTGGGAAACCACATATCTGGTTCTAAGATCCACATGAAAAAAGGAGGGCAGAGGTGTACTTCATTTTAAAGAATTGCTTTTTTACTCCCCTTCTGAAAATACTACAAATTTGGTTAAAATAATCTTTTATAGATTTTTTCCCCTCTAAATGATATGCTATGAACATCTGATGTTTACAAACTTTTTAAGTATTCAACATCTGTTATATTATGATACAGTTATAACCTTGCATACAATGAGATAACCACCTCAGGAAGCATAGCACCAAACTTGATTAAAAATAGTTTGTAAAGCCAAGAGAAAGGCAGCGTTTTTTTAATCTTTGGAACTTGATAGACCTTGGATACTTTGATTTGATTTAAGACGGAATAAGATCACATTTGATTTCAGACAATAAAATCCCAAGGTTGGTTTTGATCAGACTCATTTAATCTCATATGATCAGACTCAGTTTCATATGATGAGACATATTTCTTTTTTAAAAACTCATATTATTAAAGATATGAAAAGTCTCATTTCAATCAAATCCAATCAAAAGCTATGCTTGCAATATTACAGGATCAAAATTTAACCAGACCCCTGAGGATCTCAAGCATTTCTATCAGAATTAGCTATACTCTATTCAGTCTTCTACTTTATACACTAGCTTGAATGTACAATAGGGAAACTTAAAAAAAAGATTGCTAAAGAAAGCAAACTGCCTGACAATGATTCCTAGAAATTTGTCATACTTTTCCAATTCTTGGTTTGGAGATCACAATAAGCATCATTCAAAAGGAAAAAGGGATCACTAGTTGATGTATTTTAACTGATGAGTTTAAGAGTAGTATCCATAATAGTGAACTAAATGCCAGCAAGATTGCAGTAAGAGGGAAAAATTAAAACTTCCTGAGCATGTAAAACAGAGGTGGGTTCCTACCAGTTCGCACCAGTTCTGTAGAACCGGTTCATCAAATCTACCAAACCGGTTAGAAGAGGTTCCACCAGAAAGCAGGCCACACCTACAGAAGAGGATTTCAAAAAAAATTTGAAACCCACCACTCACNAAGACAAGGGTGTTAAACCCTCTGGCCAGATCCAGCCTGTGAGGTGTTTAAATCTGGCCTGTGGGGCTTCCCTGGAAACAGCAACGGACCATCATGTGGTCCAATGGTGGGTTTCAAAAATTTTTGGAACCTCTTCTATAGGTGTGGCCTGCTTTCCGGGTCCACTGGTGGAACCTCTTCTAACCTGTTTGATAGATTTGACGAACCGGTTCTACCCAATAGGTGCGAACTGGTAAGAACCCACCTCTGATGTGGTACCTCTGCATGTGAAAATGGAGCTGGGAGGGCCACATTCCCCCCCCCCCACTCCATTTTCACTGACAGAGGGTTAGCAAAACAAACTAAAAACAAACAAAGGGAAAAATGCTTATTCTTTTGCATTTGAGCAGGCAAGAAAGGAGAAAGGGAAAGAGGAAAGACAAAAAAGATGGGAAGAAAGCAAGGAAGGAAAAATAAGGAAAGAGGGGAAGGAAGAAGAAAGGAGAATTAAGAGGGAAGGAAAAAAAGGAAAGGAAAGGAGGGAGGGAGGGAGGGAGGGAGGAAGGAAGGAAGGAAGGAAGGAAGGAAGGAAGGAAGGAAGGAAGGAAGATTATAATGAGAGTGATTGAGGGTCTGAGGGAAGTCCTACCTTAGCACTTGGCCACCACAGGTCCCCCCATCATGAGGTATGTTGAGCTGGCACAACCCTGATGTGGCCCTCAATCAAATCAACTTTGACACCCCTGCTCTAACACCTTATGTATAGGACTGTAAAAAATGGTCCTCAATTTACAGCCATTCATTACAGCCATTCATTGGTGAGCGTTCAAAGTTACAATGGTGCTGAAGAAAGCAACTTACAACCAGTCCACAAAACATAACCAACACAGCATTACGATTTTTATGTGATCAAAATTTGGACACTTGCAACTGGCATGTGTTTACGACAATTGCAGTGTCCTAGGATTATATAATCACCACTTGCGACCTTCCCAACCAGCTTCCAACAAGCCAAGTCAATGGTGGAAGCCAGATTTGCTCAATGACTACATGATTCACTTAACATTGGCGACGAAAAAGATAATAAATGTGGTCATGTCTTACTTGACCTCCTTGCTTAGCAATGGAAACCCTAGTTCTGATTGTGGTGGTAAATCAAAGATTATCTGTAACTTTAGCTTTCCTTGTAGCCCATGTCATTTCTAGAGCATCTGTTTGTTTCTTTACCCTTTGTTGCACCCACAACTTAATTCATGGTAGACTTTTGTATACTGCTTCAAAGGAGACACACATAAAAATCAATATAGATTTCATGAAGGCTTTTAAAAGTAAAGCCTGAAAATCAAGTTGAACTTAACCTGATCAATGATATAAGCATGAGGTATATTACTCAGCTGAACAATAGACAGTTGTTCTACAGATAGTCTCCAGCTATTGAAACCTCTCCACATATCATTCACTCCATCATCCTGCATCACAACAACATGACAGAAACTTTTTGCCAATTATTATTTTAGTTAAACACTTCATGGAAAGAATATAAAGGAACAGAAATGAGCGGCATGTAAAAGTAAAGAAAAGGGTAAAATACGAACAAAGGCTTTCAAACGCCAATGTAGTTCAAATTACTATAAAATTATACACTATTTCCTATCACTTTTCCAACAAAAAACTGCAAGTCTTTAAACTAAAAATTAAATATTATGATTTAAGTTAATGAAACATAGTATAAACGGCTAACTAAAATTATAAACTACAATAGATTAATACTAAAAATATAACTATGGATGCTATATGTGTAGAAGAAGACAAATTTTGGATATGGTACAAATCCATGCATTAAAGTATAATAATAAAGAATTATTTCCTATTAGAACTGAATTTTGTGACTTGCCAGATACTTCGATGATATCCATAGAATGAATACCCTGCCCAACCTATTTATCTTATAATGGAAGCATATTTCTATTTACCCAGTGAATTTTACTGAAGCTTCATATTTAATACTTTTTAATGGATTGTTTGTTGGTATTGCTTTTGAGACAGACTTAATTTTTGGCAAAAGCCTGAACTAGTATCTACAGTTTCTTGGCAATATTTTTAGAAGTGGTTTACCATTCTTCTTCCTAGAAATAAGAGAGAATGACTGGCCCAAATCAACCAGCTGGCTTTATGCAGAACCAGAACTCATGGTCCCCTAGTTTTTAACTGACTGTCTTTAATTACTGCACCAAACTGTCACTTCTTTAATAAACATATTTTATTAATTTCTGCCATAACTTACAACTCGCGGACAGGATGTGGCCTACCATTCAGAATCACTTGGCCTATAGTCAGAAAAGAAATACATTTACCCAGTGAGAATTATTGTTTTACTGTGTTTCCTGTGTTTCCATTGTTAAGGTATTCAAGGTATTATTTACCTTACAAATCACATCTACTGGATGTGGTTGCCTCCATTAGTACAAGATTTAAAACCCAGCAATGCATTTTGCTAATTGCAGGGGAAATTATTTTTCCCAATCCCATTTTCCCTGCCATTTCCTATACCCCCCCCCCCAAAAAAAAAATGCTTCAGAAAATTGAGGGATACTCTGGCATGCAATGAGTGGGAAGAGGGAGGATACAATAGAGAAGCAAATATGAAGTTCACCTACCTTCCCCCATTCTTTTAATATAATCAGTCTTTCACACTAACATCCTGCTGTTTTATTAAAAACAACATGCCTTTATAACTACATATTCTCTACAAACCTGTGAGAGTTTTGTGGGAAAAGCTATTATCTTTTTCCCAGGTCTGGTAGTACTTAGGTAGTGAAATATATTAAATGTCCTTCAACACAAGCTTCAACACAGGATTTGCATCCCATGAAACTATTGATCTATATTTCAGTTAGAGCAGGGGTGTCCAGCCCTGGCAACTTTAAGACCTGAGAACTGCCCCTCCCACAATTCCCCAATCAGCCATGCTCACTGGGTTATTCCGGGAGCTGAAATCCACAAGTCTTAAATTTCCCAAGGTTG